TACGATGTGGGCCCCGAGAAGCCAGATGCTGACTTGTAACATTACTACGATGTTGGCCCCGAGAAGCCAGATGCTGACTTGTAACATTACTAAGATGTTGGCCCCGAGAAGCCAGATGCTGACTAGTAACATTACTAAGATGTGGGCCCTGAGAAGCCAGATGCTGACTTGTAACATTACTACGATGTGGGCCCCGAGAAGCCAGATGCTGACTTGTAACATTACTACGATGTTGGCCCCGAGAAGCCAGATTGTGACTCGTAACATTACTACTATATTGGACGCGAGAAGCCAAATTGTGAATCGTAACATTACTATTATTAGGGCCCCGAGAAGCCAGATTGTGACTCGTAACATTACTACTATATTGTAATCGAGAAGCCAGATTTTCACCTGTTGCATTACTAATATGATGGACACGAGAGGCCAGAATGTGACCAGTAACATTACTACTATGTTGGATCCGAGAAGCCAGATTGTGACTCGTAAGATAACTTCTATGTGGGCCCCGAGAATCCAGATGCTGACTTGTAACATTACTACTATGTGGTCCCCGAGAAGCCAGATGCTGACTTGTAACATTACTACTATGTGGGCCCCGAGAAGCCAGATGCTGACTTGTAACATTACTACTGTGTGGGTCCCGAGAAGCCAGATTGTAACTCGTAACATTACTAGTATGTTGGAGCAGAGAGGCCAGATGCTTACTTGTAACATTACTGCTATGTTGGACCCGAGAAGCAACATGCTGACTTGTAACATTACTACTATGTGGGCCCCGAGAAACTAGATGTTGTCTTTTAACGTAACAACTATGTTGGACCCGAGAAGCCAGATTGTGACTTGTAACATTACTAATATGTTGGACCCGAGAAGCCAGATTGTGACTCGTAACATTACTACTATGTGGGCCCAGAAAAGCCAGATGCTGACTCATAACATTACTACTATGTGGGCCCCGAGAAGCCAGATGCTGACTCGTAGCATTACTACTATGTAAGACTTGTAACATTACTACTATGAGAAGCCAGATTCTGACTCGTAACATTACTACTATATTGGACACGAGAAGCCAAATTGTGACACGTAACATTACTAAGATGTGGGCCCTGAGAAGCCAGATGCTGACTTGTAAGAGTACTACATTGCGGGCTCCGAGAAACTAGATGTTGTCTTGTAACATTACTACGATGAGTGCCCAGAGAAGCCAGATTGTGACCTGTAACATTACTACTATGACGGACCCGAGAAGCCAGATTGTGACCTGTAACATTACTACGATGTTGGACCAGAGAAGCCAGATTGTGACCTGTAACATTACTACTATGTTGGCCCCGAGAAGCCAGATTGTGAGCTGTAACATTACTAGTATGTTGGACCCGAGAAGCCAGATTGTGACTCGTAACATTACTACTATGTGGTCCCAGAGAACCCAGATGCTGACTCGTAACATTACTACTATGTTGGACCCGAGAACCCAGATGCTGACTCGTAACATTACTACTATGTGGGCCCCGAGAAGCCAGATGCTGAATCATAACATTACTACTATCTGGGCCCTGAGAAGCCAGATGCTGACTTGTAACATAACTACTAGGTGGGCCCCGAGAAGGCAGATGCTGACTCGTAGCATTACTACTATGTGGACCCCGAGAAGCCAGATGCTGACTCGTAACATTACTACTATGTTGGCCCTGGTAAACCAGCTTCTGACTGGTAACATTACTACTATGTTGGCTCTATTATTAGGGCCCCGAGAAGCCAGATGCTGACTCTTAACGTAACGATAATGATGTACCCGAGAATCCAGATTGTGAGTCGTAACATTACTACTATGTGGACCCCGAGAAACCAAATGTTGACTTGTAACATTACTACTATGTGGGCCCCAAGAAGCCACATGCTGACTTGTAACATTACTACTATGTGGGCCCCGAGAAGCCAGATGCTGACTTGTAACATTACTACGATGTTGGCCCCGAGAAGCCAGATTGTGACTCGTAACATTACTACTATGTTGGACCCGAGAAGCCAGATTGTGACTCGTAACATTACTACTATGTGGGCCCCGAGTAGCCAGGCTCTGACTCGTAACATTACTACTATGTGAGCCCCGAGAAGCCAGATGCTGACTTGTAACATTACTACTATGTGGGCCTTGAGAAGCTTGATGCTGACTTGTAACGTTACTATTATGGCAGATGCTGACTTGTAACATTACTACTATGTGGGCTCTAAGAAGCCAGATGATGACCTTTAACATTGCTACGATGAGGGCCCCGAGAAGCCAGATGCTGACTCTTAACATTACTACTATGTGGGCACCGAGAAGCCAGATTGTGACCTGTAACATAACTACTATGTTGTACCCGAGAAGCCACATGCTGACTTGTAACATTACTACGATGTGGGCCCCGAGAAGCCAGATGCTGACTTGTAACATTACTACGATGTTGGACCCGAGAAGCCAGATTGTGACCTGTAACATTACTACGATGTGGGCCCCGAGAAGCCAGATGCTGACTTGTAACATTACTACTATGTGGGCTTCGAGAAGCCAGATACGGACTTGTAACATTACTACGATGTGGGCCCCGAGAAGCCAGATGCTGACTTGAAACATTACTAATATGTTGGACCCGAGAAGCCAGATGCTGACTCGTAACATTACTACTATGTCGGCCCCGAGAGGCCAGATGGTGACTTGTAACATTACTACGATGTTGGACCCGAGAAGCCAGATTGTGACCTGTAACATTACTACTATGTGGGCCCCGAGAAGCCAGATGCTGACTTGTAACATTACTACTATGTTGGCTCTATTATTAGGGCCCCGAGAAGCCAGATGCTGACCATTACTACTATGAGAACTTGTAACATTACTAGATGTGGGACCCGAGAAGCCAGATGCTGACTCATAGCATTACTACTATGTGGGCCCCGAGAAGCCAGATACTAACTTGTAACATTACTACTATGTGGGCTCGGAGAAGCCAGATGCTGTCTTGTAACATTACTACAGAAGCCAGATTGTGACCTGTAACATTACTACTATGACGGACCCAAGAAGCCAGATTGTGACCTGTAACATTACTACTATGTGGACCCGAGAAGCCAGATGCTGACTCATAGCATTACTACTATGTTGACACCGAGAAACCAGATGCTGACTTGTAACATTACTATTATGTGGGCCCCGAGAAACTAGATGTTGTAACATTACTAACTGTGTGGACCCCGAGAAGCCAGATTGACTGAACATTACTACTATGTGGGCCCTAAGAAGCCACATGCTGACATATAACATTACTACTATGGGAGCCCCGACAAGCCTGATGCTGACTCATAACAATTCTACTATGTTGGACCCGAGAACCCAGATGCTGACTCGTAACATTACTACTATGTTGGCCCTGGTAAACCAGCTTCTGACTGGTAACATTACTACTATGTTGGCCCCGAGAAGCCAGATTGTGACATGTAACATTACTACTATGACGGACCCGAGAAGCCAGATTGTGACCTGTAACATTACTACTATGTTGGACCCGAGAAGCCAGATTGTGACTCGTAAGATGACTTCTATGTGGGCCCCGAGTATCCAGATGCTGACTTGTAACATTACTACTATGTGGGCCCCGAGAAGCCAGATGCTGACTCGTAGCATTACTACTATGTGGACACCGAGAAACCAGATACTGGCCTGTAACATTACTACGATGTGGGCCCCGAGAAGCCAGATGCTGACTTGTAACATTACTACGATGTGGACACCGAGAAGCCAGATTCTGACTTGTAACATTACTACTATGAGGGCCTCGAGAAGCCAGATGCTGACTTGTAACATTACTACTATGTGGGCCCCGAGAAGCCAGATGCTGACTCGTAGCATTACTACTATGTGGGCCCCGAGAAGCCAGATGCTGACTTGTAACATTACTACTATGTGGGCCCCGAGAAACTAGATGTTGTCTTTTAACGTAACAACTATGTTGGACCCGAGAAGCCAGATTGTGGCTCGTAACATTACTACTATGTGGGCCCCGAGAAGCCAGATGCTGACTTGTAACATTACTACTATGTGGGCCCCGAGAAGCCAGATCCGGATTTGTAACATTACTACGATGTTGGACCCGAGAAGCCAGATGCTGACTCGTAACATTACTACTATGTTGGCTCTGAAAAGCCAGATTCTGACTCGTAACATTACTACTATGTAGGACCCGAGAAGCCAGATGCTGACTCGTAGCATTACTACTATGGGGACAACGAGAAGCCAGATTGTGACTCGTAAGATTACTTCTATGTGGTCCCCGAGAACCCAGATGCTGACTCGTAACATTACTACTATGTTGGCCCTGAGAAGCCAAATTGTGACTCCTAACATTACTACTATGTGGGCCCGAGAAGCCAGATTCTGACTCGTTACATTACTACTATGTTGGCCCTGAGAAGCCAAATTGTGACTCCTAACATTACTACGATGAGGGCCCCGAGAAGCCAGATGCTGACTTGTCACATTACTACGATGTTGGACCAGAGAAGCCAGATTGTGATTTGTAACATAACTACTATGTTGGACCAGAGAAGCCAGATGCTGACTCGTAGCATTACTACTTTAGATGCTGACTAATTAAGCCAGATGCTGACATTGTATGTGGGCCCTGAGAAGCCAGATTCTGACTCGTAACATTACTACTATGTGGGCCCCGAGAAGCCAGATGCTGACTCGTAACATAACTACTATGTGGGCCAGGAGAAGGCAGATGCTGACTCGTAACATTACTACTATGTTGGCCCTGAGAAGCCAGATGCTGACACTACTATGTGACTCATGAATTACTACTCACTAACATTACTACAAAGAAGCCAGATCCTGACTCATAACATTACTACTATGTGGGCACCCGAGAGAAGCCAAATTGTGACTCCTAACATTACTACGATGAGGGCCCCGAGAAGCCAGATGCTCTAAGCTCATGCATTCTATAACACTCACTCTAAACTCATTCATTCTACAAACCTCACTCTAAACTTATGTTTTCTACAAACCTCACTCTAAACTCATGCATTCTATAACACTCACTCTAAACTCATGTATTCTACAAACCTCACTCTAAACTCATGTATTCTATAACACTCACTCTATACTCATGTATTCTACAAACCTCACTCTAAACTCATGTATTCTACAAACCTCACTCTAAACTCATGCATTCTATATCACTCACTCTCAACTCATGTTTTCTACAAACCTCACTCTAAACTCATGCATTCTATAACACTCACTCTAAACTCATGTTTACTACAAACCTCACTCTAAACTCATGTATTCTACAAACCTCACTCTAAACTCATGTTTTCTACAAACCTCACTCTAAACTTGTGTATTCTACAAACCTAACTCTAAACTCATGTTTTCTACAACACTCACTCTAAACTCATGTTTTCTACAAACCTCACTCTAAACTTGTGTATTCTACAAACCTCACTCTAAACTCATGCATTCTATAACACTCACTCTAAACTCATGTTTTCTACAAACCTCACTCTAAACTCATGCTTTCTACAACACTCACTTTAAACTCATGCATTCTATAACACTCACTCTAAACTCATGTATTCTACAAACCTCACTCTAAACTCATGCATTCTATATCACTCACTCTAAACTCATGTATTCTACAAACCTCACTCTAAACTCATGCATTCTATAACGCTCACTCTAAACTCATGTATTCTACAAACCTCACTCAAAACCCATGCATTCTATAACACTCACTCTAAATTCATGTTTTCTACAAACCTCACTCTAAACTCATGTATTTTACAAACCTCACTCTAAACTCATGTTTTCTACAAACCTCACTCTAAACTTGTGTATTCTACAAACCTAACTCTAAACTCATGTTTTCTACAACACTCACTCTAAACTCATGTTTTCTACAAACCTCACTCTAAACTTGTGTATTCTACAAACCTCACTCTAAACTTGTGTATTCTACAAACCTAACTCTAAACTCATGTTTTCTACAACACTCACTCTAAACTCATGTTTTCTACAAACCTCACTCTAAACTCATGCATTCTATATCACTCACTCTAAACTCATGTATTCTACAAACCTCACTCTAAACTCATGCATTCTATAACGCTCACTCTAAACTCATGTATTCTACAAACCTCACTCAAAACCCATGCATTCTATAACACTCACTCGAAACTCATGTTTTCTACAAACCTCACTCTAAACTCATGTATTCTACAAACCTCACTCTAAACTCATGTTTTCTACAAACCTCACTCTAAACTTGTGTATTCCACAAACCTAACTCTAAACTCATGTTTTCTACAACACTCACTCAACTCATGTTTTCTACAAACCTCACTCTAAACTCATGCATTCTATAACACTCACTCTAAACTCATGTATTCTACAAACCTCACTCTAAACTCATGTATTCTATAACACTCACTCTATACTCATGTATTCTACAAACCTCACTCTAAACTCATGTATTCTACAAACCTCTCTCTAAACTCATGTATTCTACAAACATCACTCTAAACTCGTGTATTCTACAAACCTCACTCTAAACTCATGTTTTCTACAAACCTCACTCTAAACTTGTGTATTCTACAAACCTCACTTTAAACTCATGTTTTCTACAAACCTCACTCTAAACTTGTGTATTCTACAAACCTCACTCTAAACTCATGCATTCTATAACACTCACTCTAAACTCATGCATTCTATAACACTCACTCTAAAATCATTTTTTCTGCAAACCTCACTCTAAACTCATGTATTCTACAAACCTCACTCTAAACTCATGTTTTCTACAAACCTCACTCTAAACTTGTGTATTCCACAAACCTAACTCTAAACTCATGTTTTCTACAACACTCACTCTAAACTCATGTTTTCTACAACACTCACTCTAAACTCATGTATTCTACAAACCTCACTCTAAGCTCATGCATTCTATAACACTCACTCTAAACTCATTCATTCTACAAACCTCACTCTAAACTTATGTTTTCTACAAACCTCACTCTAAACTCATGCATTCTATAACACTCACTCTAAACTCATGTATTCTAAAAACCTCACTCTAAACTCATGTATTCTATAACACTCACTCTATACTCATGTATTCTACAAACCTCACTCTAAACTCATGTATTCTACAAACCTCACTCTAAACTCATGCATTCTATATCACTCACTCTCAACTCATGTTTTCTACAAACCTCACTCTAAACTCATGCATTCTATAACGCTCACTCTAAACTCATGTATTCTACAAACCTCACTCAAAACCCATGCATTCTATAACACTCACTCTAAATTCATGTTTTCTACAAACCTCACTCTAAACTCATGTATTCTACAAACCTCACTCTAAACTCATGTTTTCTACAAACCTCACTCTAAACTTGTGTATTCTACAAACCTAACTCTAAACTCATGTTTTCTACAACACTCAGTCTAAACTCATGTTTTCTACAAACCTCACTCTAAACTTGTGTATTCTACAAACCTCACTCTAAACTTGTGTATTCTACAAACCTCACTCTAAACTCATACATTCTATAACACTCACTCTAAACTCATGTTTTCTACAAACCTCACTCTAAACTCATGTTTTCTACAACACTCACTTTAAACTCATGCATTCTATAACACTCACTCTAAACTCATGTATTCTACAAACCTCACTCTAAACTCATGCATTTTATAACACTCACTCTAAACTCATGCATTCTATATCACTCACTCTAAACTCATGTATTCTACAAACCTCACTCTAAACTCATGCATTCTATAACGCTCACTCTAAACTCATGTATTCTACAAACCTCACTCAAAACTCATGCATTCTATAACACTCACTCTAAACTCATGTATTCTACAAACCTCACTCGAAACTCATGCATTCTATAACACTCACTCTAAACTCATGTTTTCTACAAACCTCACTCTAAACTCATGTATTCTACAAAACTCACTCTAAACTCATGTTTTCTACAAACCCCACTCTAAACTGTTTTCTACAACACTCACTTTAAACTCATGCATGCTATAACACTCATTCTAAACTCATGTATTCTACAAACCTCACTCTAAACTCATGCATTTTATAACACTCACTCTAAACTCATGCATTCTATATCACTCACTCTAAACTCATGTATTCTACAAACCTCACTCTAAACTCATGCATTCTATAACGCTCACTCTAAACTCATGTATTCTACAAACCTCACTCAAAACTCATGCATTCTATAACACTCACTCTAAACTCATGTATTCTACAAACCTCACTCGAAACTCATGCATTTTATAACACTCACTCTAAACTCATGTTTTCTACAAACCTCACTCTAAACTCATGTATTCTACAAACCTCACTCTAAACTCATGTTTTCTACAAACCTAACTCTAAACTTGTGTATTCTACAAACCTAACTCTAAACTCATGTTTTCTACAACACTCACTCTAAACTCATGTCTTCTACAAACCTCACTCTAAACTTGTGTATTCTACAAACCTAACTCTATACTCATGTTTTCTACAAACCTCACTCTAAACTCATGTATTCTACAAACCTCACTCTAAACTCATGTTTTCTACAAACCTCACTCTAAACTTGTGTATTCCACAAACCTAACTCTAAACTCATGTTTTCTACAACACTCACTCTAAACTCATGTTTTCTACAAACCTCACTCTAAACTCATGTTTTCTACAAACCTCACTCTAAACTCATGTTTTCTACAAACCTCACTCTAAACTTGTGTATTCTACAAACCTAACTCTAAACTCATGTTTTCTACAACACTCACTCTAAACTCATGTTTTCTACAAACCTCACTCTAAACTTGTGTATTCTACAAACCTAACTCTATACTCATGTTTTCTACAAACCTCACTCTAAACTCATGTATTCTACAAACCTCACTCTAAACTCATGTTTTCTACAAACCTCACTCTAAACTTGTGTATTCCACAAACCTAACTCTAAACTCATGTTTTCTACAACACTCACTCTAAACTCATGTTTTCTACAAACCTCACTCTAAACTCATGTTTTCTACAACACTCACTCTAAACTCATGTATTCTACAAACCTCACTCTAAAGTCATGCATTCTATAACACTCACTCTAAACTCATGTATTCTACAAACCTCACTCTAAACTCATGTATTCTATAACACTCACTCTATACTCAAGTATTCTACAAACCTCACTCTAAACTCATGTATTCTACAAACATCACTCTAAACTCATGTATTCTACAAACCTCACTCTAAACTCATGTTTTCTACAAACCTCACTCTAAACTTGTGTATTCTACAAACCTCACTTTAAAATAATGTTTTCTACAAACCTCTCTCTAAACTTGTGTATTCTACAAACCTCACTCTAAACTCATGCATTCTATAACACTCACTCTAAACTCATGCATTCTATAACACTCACTCTAAAATCATTTTTTCTGCAAACCTCACTCTAAACTCATGTATTCTACAAAACTCACTCTAAACTCATGTTTTCTACAAACCCCACTCTAAACTGTTTTCTACAACACTCACTTTAAACTCATGCATGCTATATCGCTCATTCTAAACTCATGTATTCTACAAACCTCACTCTAAACTCATGCATTTTATAACACTCACTCTAAACTCATGCATTCTATATCACTCACTCTAAACTCATGTATTCTACAAACCTCACTCTAAACTCATGCATTCTATAACGCTCACTCTAAACTCATGTATTCTACAAACCTCACTCAAATCTCATGCATTCTATAACACTCACTCTAAACTCATGTATTCTACAAACCTCACTCGAAACTCATGCATTCTATAACACTCACTCTAAACTCATGTTTTCCACAAACCTCACTCTAAACTCATGTATTCTACAAAACTCACTCTAAACTCATGTTTTCTACAAACCCCACTCTAAACTCATGTTTTCTACAACACTCACTTTAAACTCATGCATGCTATAACACTCATTCTAAACTCATGTATTCTACAAACCTCACTCTAAACTCATGCATTTTATAACACTCACTCTAAACTCATGCATTCTATATCACTCACTCTAAACTCATGTATTCTACAAACCTCACTCTAATCTCATGCATTCTATAACGCTCACTCTAAACTCATGTATTCTACAAACCTCACTCAAAACTCATGCATTCTATAACACTCACTCTAAATTCATGTATTCTACAAACCTCACTCGAAACTCATGCATTCTATAACACTCACTCTAAACTCATGTTTTCTACAAACCTCACTCTAAACTCATGTATTCTACAAACCTCACTCTAAACTCATGTTTTCTACAAACCTCACTCTAAACTTGTGTATTCCACAAACCTAACTCTAAACTCATGTTTTCTACAACACTCACTCTAAACTCATGTTTTCTACAAACCTCACTCTAAACTCATGTTTTCTACAACACTCACACTAAACTCATGTATTCTACAAACCTCACTCTAAAGTCATGCATTCTATAACACTCACTCTAAACTCATGTATTCTACAAACCTCACTCTAAACTCATGTATTCTATAACACTCACTCTATACTCATGTATTCTACAAACCTCACTCTAAACTCATGTATTCTACAAACCTCACTCTAAACTCATGTATTCTACAAACCTCACTCTAAACTCATGTATTCTACAAACCTCACTCTAAACTCATGTTTTCTACAAACCTCACTCTAAACTTGTGTATTCTACAAACCTCACTTTAAACTCATGTTTTCTACAAACCTCACTCTAAACTTGTGTATTCTACAAACCTCACTCTAAACTCATGCATTTTATAACACTCACTCTAAACTCATGCATTCTATAACACTCACTCTAAACTCATGTTTTCTGCAAACCTCACTCTAAACTCATGTTTTCTACAAACCTCACTCTAAACTTGTGTATTCCACAAACCTAACTCTAAACTCATGTTTTCTACAAACCTCACTCTAAAATCATGTATTCTATAACACTCACTCTAAACTCGTGTTTTCTACAAACCTCACTCTAAACTTGTGTATTCTACAAACCTCACTCTAAACTCATGCATTCTATAACACTCACTCTAAACTCATGTTTTCTACAAACCTCACTCTAAACTCATGTATTCTATAACACTCACTCTATACTCATGTATTCTACAAACCTCACTCTAAACTCATGTATTCTACAAACCTCACTCTAAACTCATGTATTCTACAAACCTCACTCTAAACTCATGTTTTCTACAAACCTCACTCTAAACTTGTGTATTCTACAAACCTCACTCTAAACTCATGTTTTCTACAAACCTCAATCTAAACTTAACTTGTGTATTCTACAAACCTCACTCTAAACTCATGCATTCTATAACACTCACTCTAAACTCATGTTTTCTACAAACCTCACTCTAAACTCATGTATTCTACAAACCTCACTCTAAACTCATGTATTATACAAACCTCACTCTAAACTCATGTGTATTCTACAAACCTCACTCTAATCTCTTGCATTCTATAACACTCACTCTAAACTCATGTTTTCTACAAACCTCACTCTAAACTCATGTATTCTACAAACCTCAAACTCACAAACCTCACTCTAAACTTGTATTCTACAAACCTCACTCTAAACTCATGTATTCTACAAACCTCACTCTAAACTCATGTATTCTACAAGCCTCACTCTAAACTCATGTTTTCTACAAACCTCACTCTAAACTTGTGTATTCTACAAACCTCACTCTAAACTCATGTTTTCTACAAACCTCACTCTAAACTTAACTTGTGTATTCTACAAACCTCACTCTAAACTCATGCATTCTATAACACTCACTCTAAACTCATGTTTTCTACAAACCTCACTCTAAACTCATGTTTTCTACAACACTCACTTTAAACTCATGCATTCTATAACACTCACTCTAAACTCATGTATTCTACAAACCTCACTCTAAACTCATGCATTTTATAACACTCACTCTAAACTCATGTTTTCTACAAACCTCACTCTAAACTCATGTATTCTACAAACCCCACTCTAAACTCATGTTTTCTACAAACCTCACTCTAAACTTGTGTATTCTACAAACCTCACTCTAAACTCATGTTTTCTACAAACCTCACTCTAAACTTAACTTGTGTATTCTACAAACCTCACTCTAAACTCATGCATTCTATAACACTCACTCTAAACTCATGTTTTCTACAAACCTCACTCTAAACTCATGTTTTCTACAACACTCACTTTAAACTCATGCATTCTATAACACTCACTCTAAACTCATGTATTCTACAAACCTCACTCTAAACTCATGCATTTTATAACACTCACTCTAAACTCATGTTTTCTACAAACCTCACTCTAAACTCATGTATTCTACAAACCTCACTCTAAACTCATGTTTTCTACAAACCTCACTCTAAACTCATGTATTCTACAAACCTCACTCTAAACTCATGCATTCTATAACACTCACTCTAAACTTGTGTATTCTACAAACCTCACTCTAAACTCATGCATTCTATAACACTCACTCTAAACTCATGTTTTCTACAAACCTCACTCTAAACTTATGTTTTCTACAAACCCCACTCTAAACTCATGTTTTCTACAACACTCACTCTAAACTTGTGTATTCTACAAACCTCACTCTAAACTCATGCATTCTATAACACTCACTCTAAACTCATGTTTTCTACAAACCTCACTCTAAACTTATGTTTTCTACAAACCTCACTCTAAACTCATGTTTTCTACAAACCTCACTCTAATCTCATGTTTTCTACAAACCTCACTCTAAACTCCTGTATTCTACTACCCCCACTTTAAACCCTTACTCTAAAGTTGGGGAAATCTACAACCTTCATGTAACCTAGTCATTCCTTTCAAACTTTCATTATTTGTATCTAAAAAATTTTTAGCGATTCAGACAAGTGTATTGGTGATGCTGAAGAATGCTCCTTGGAAATGACTTTATTGGATACAACTGGGAAATAATTCTTTAATTAAGCAGTTGAAGGCCCTGAATTTGGTATACTGCAAATACATGTATACATCAAGTTCTAATAACTTGTAAATTATGCATGAGAGAGTTATGGTTCACACTGCATTTCTCCTTATCTATCTAGAGAGCCTTATGTTGATTCCTCCAATACTTTTCGTGATATGCTCCGGACAAATTTATGATGGATGGGCAAACGGACAAACAAAAGGACGGACGGACGGACAGACGGATGGACGGAGAGCTGGACAAAGTGGCCACTATATACTCTCCCTTCGGAGACAATAAAAAAATGGAATGTATTGAAAATTGTCTTAAAAACTTGATAAAACGTTGTAGTGAATGATACAATGTGATGTTTAGCAGGTGTACTGTTGATACAGCCTGCTGGCCATTTAAATAAATTCTGTTATGAAAAGTGAAAATGTGTACTGATTGTACAAGTAAAATTAAAAAACTGATATACATACAAATGTGTAAGCAAATGGACATTAACATAGTACTGTAAATCACGTAGATTTTACGAATACCTTATATTTTGTTAACTAACTTCAGACATATTAGTGAATATATAATTTGGTGAACTTTAAATATGTAAATGATGGTATATTAGATATGTGGACTCTGATATTGGTAACCAAATCAGCATTTTTGTCAGCAAGAATTATTTTTTAACAAATAATGGCAAGGGGTTTGAATTAGCAATTGACTCATCGCGTACAAATGAAAAATAAAGCCTATGTGAAATATAAGTGATTCACAGTATAACAATATAACTAGTAAACAGACATGAAGGGTAAGCTCTCTCATCAATAAATATACTGTAAATATAAACAGAATACACAGTTATCAAGTAATATATGGTATCACAATTACTTCAAGAGTTTAAAAAAATTACAATCGTAGATTATTTGTAAAGGTAACTTTAGAACGAGAACAAAGGAAAAGTAACAACATAGAGATACTTCATATCGTTTGCCATGTCACAGTCGAGAGAATTTTATTCAATGATAAAAGAGGAATGTTGAGTTGATGAAGTAGTGCTGCAGGATTTCTTAGATTATAATGTATCGTCTGTCCCTAATCCATGGTAACACATTACACCATGTAATGGTCAGTCTCCCTTGTCTGCCCCTAATCCATGGTAACACATTACACCATGTAATGGTCAGTCTCCCTTGTCTGCCCCTAATCCATGGTATCACATTACACTATGTAATGGTCAGCCTCCCTTGTCTGTGCCTAATCCATGGTAACACATAGCACAATAATATGGTCGACCTCCCTTGTCTGTGCCTAATCCATGGTAACACATTACACCATGTAATGGTCGGCCTCCCTTGTCTGTCCCTAATCCATGGTTACACATTACAACATGTAATGGTCAGCCTCCCTTGTCTGTCCCTAATCCATGGTAACACTACACCATGTAATGGTCAGTCTCCCTTGTCTGTGCCTAATCGATGGTAACACATAACACAATAATATGGGCAGCCTCCCTTGTCTGTCCCTAATCCATGGTTACACATTACAACATGTAATGGTCGGCCTCCCTTGTCTGTCCCTAATCCATGGTAACACTACACCATGGTCAGTCTCCCTTGTCTGTGCCTAATCCATGGTAACACATAACACAATAATATGGTCGGCCTCCCTTGTCTGTCCCTAATCCATGGCAACACATTACACCATGTAATGGTCAGTCTCCATTGTCTGCCCCTAATCCATGGTATCACATTACACTATGTAATGGTCGGCCTCCCTTGTCTGTGCCTAATCGATGGTAACACATAACACAATAATATGGTCGGCCTCCCTTGTCTGTGCCTAATCCATGGTAACACATTACACCATGTAATGGTCAGTCTACCTTGTCTGCCCCTAATCCATGGTAACACATTACACAAATCAGTACTAAGTTGTTGAGAGGAAAATGCAGAAGAGTGTATGGTGTTCCATCAAGGCGAGAAAACATTTACATAAACACACAAGAACATGACAGTAGGATGTTACTATTTCATATACACAAACACCAACATATCCTATGCAGAAGGTGTCTGAGGAGGCTGCAATACCCATAAGGTGTCTGAGGAGGCTGCAACACCCATAAGGTGTCTGAGGAGGCTGCAATACCCATAAGGTGTCTGAGGAGGCTGCAACACCCATAAGGTGTCTGAGGAGGCTGCAACACCCATAAGGTGTCTGAGGAGGCTGCAACACCCATTATGTATCTGAGGAGGCTGCAACACCCATAATGTGTCTGAGGAGGCTGCAATACCCATAATGTGTCTGAGGAGGCTGCAATACCCATAAGGTGTCTGAGGAGGCTGCAACAGCCATAATGTATCTGAGGAGGCTGCAACACCTATAATGTATCTGAGGAGGCTGCAATACCCATAAGGTGTCTGAGGAGGCTGCAACACCCATAAGGTGTCTGAGGAGGCTGCAACACCCATAAGGTGTCTGAGGAGGCTGCAACACCCATAATGTATCTGAGGAGGCTGCAATACCCATAATGTGTCTGAGGAGGCTGCAACACCCATAAGGTGTCTGAGGAGGCTGCAATACCCATAATGTGTCTGAGGAGGCTGCAACACCTATAAGGTGTCTGAGGAGGCTGCAACACCCATAATGTATCTGAGGAGGCTGGGCTATGACATAAACTTACCTAATGACTGGTGTTAGATGAAACTAGGTTAAGTCTATATTTCATATACACAATGAAAGAACATAGTTTGTAAGAAGCATGTGTCTAATATTATTGCAGCATGCCCGAATGTCATCATGGTATACAAAGCTTGACTTTGTAAATATACATTATATATGATAAACAAAATACTGAATATAACATATAAGAGATATTCACTGCTGTCTAGACCACTTTTTCACGACTTTTGTGGTAACTATTTGAAGCAATTTTTTCGGGGTTTTAGATTTTTAAATCAGAATCATTGTTTTCAGAACAAATCTAGTCACTATATGAAATAAATATTCATGTAGTTTTCATCACCACCAAAATAAATATTCATGTAGTTTTCATCACCACCAAAACAAATATTCATGTAGTCATCACCACCAAAATAAATATTCATGTAGTTTTCATCACCACCAAAATAAATATTCATGTAGTTTTCATCACCACCAAAATAAATATTCATGTAGTTTTCATCACCACCAAAATAAAAATTCATGTAGTTTTCATCACCACCAAAATAAATATTCATGTAGTTTTCATCACCACCAAAATAAATATTCATGTAGTCATCACCACCAAAATAAATATTCTTGTAGTTTTCATCACCACCAAAATAAATATTCATGTAGTTTTCATCACCACCAAAATAAATATTCATGTAGTTTTCATCACCACCAAAATAAATATTCTTGTAGTTTTCATCACCACCAAAATAAATATTCATGTAGTCATCACCACCAAAATAAATATTCATGTAGTCATCACCACCAAAATAAATATTCATGTAGTTTTCATCACCACCAAAATAAATATTCATGTAGTTTTCCTCACCACCAAAATAAATATTCATGTAGTTTTCATCACCACCAAAATAAATATTCATGTAGTTTTCATCATCACCAAAATAAATATTCATGTAGTTTTCATCACCACCAAAATAAATATTCATGTAGTTTTCATCACCACCAAAATAAATATTCATGTAGTTTTCATCACCACCAAAATAAATATTCATGTAGTCATCACCACCAAAATAAATATTCATGTAGTTTTTATCACCACCAAAATAAATATTCATGTAGTTTTCATCACCACCAAAATAAATATTCATGTAGTTTTCATCACCACCAAAATAAATATTCATGTAGTCATCACCACCAAAATAAATATTCATGTAGTTTTCTTCACCACCAAAATAAATATTCATGTAGTTTTCATCACCACCAAAATAAATATTCATGTAGTCATCACCACCAAAATAAATATTCTTGTAGTTTTCATCACCACCAAAATAAATATTCATGTAGTTTTCATCACCACCAAAATAAATATTCATGTAGTTTTCATCACCACCAAAATAAATATTCATGTAGTTTTCATCACCACCAAAATAAATATTCATGTAGTTTTCATCTCCACCAAAATAAATATTCATGTAGTTTTCATCTCCACCAAAATAAATATTCATGTAGTTTTCATCACCACCAAAATAAATATTCATGTAGTCATCACCACCAAAATAAATATTCATGTAGTTTTTATCACCACCAAAATAAATATTCATGTAGTTTTCATCACCACCAAAATAAATATTCATGTAGTTTTCATCACCACCAAAATAAATATTCATGTAGTCATCACCACCAAAATAAATATTCATGTAGTTTTCTTCACCACCAAAATAAATATTCATGTAGTTTTCATCACCACCAAAATAAATATTCATGTAGTCATCACCACCAAAATAAATATTCTTGTAGTTTTCATCACCACCAAAATAAATATTCATGTAGTTTTCATCACCACCAAAATAAATATTCATGTAGTTTTCATCACCACCAAAATAAATATTCATGTAGTTTTCATCACCACCAAAATAAATATTCATGTAGTTTTCATCTCCACCAAAATAAATATTCATGTAGTTTTCATCACCACCAAAATAAATATTCATGTAGTTTTCATCACCACCAAAATAAATATTCAGTAAGAAACCCTGAAAAAATGATTGTTGAAAAGAAATCTGGTCCAGACAGCAATGCTTTGTAGATAGAGTTTATACATAAGGAAAGTCTCTTAGCCTTAAGACTGTATGTAATCCTCATAAGAAAAATAAAGAATAAAACTACACACTGACATGTGAACTGGTATATGAACTTTCAATACAATATCAACGTCAACTGCCATTGGTGTTCAAACCATAGACTTATGAAACACATAACATCAAATGATAAATACATATATGATTAGCATTAAAAGTTCAGGCTGTATGCTACATTTAACATTATACAAATGATTTACATCAAAAGTTAAGCTTGTGTGATACATTTCATATTAACGCATTAATCTGCAAACAATGGAGCCTCTTCTTCATTATTGTAGAATCTTCAATTAAAAAAAAATAATGTAAAAAGTAGTTCACAAATTAGCCCTCCCAAAAGCCTACATACTAAGTGGAGAAGAGAGCTTATTTGAGGGTTAATACCGTATATAATGATCAGAACTTATTTACTATGCCATATAATATTCTTTTAATTTGTCTAATAATTACCACAATGCATATATATATATATATATATATATATATATTTCCTATTAGAGTTATGTCATAACTGACAAATTTCATTCAACAGGCTTAATAACAAAAGGCCCAAACACCCTAATGGTTACCTGAGTTACAACGAACAAAAGGTAATCGCAACAGGTCACCTGAGACTTTTACTCAGGTGACCTAAAAACATCACGAATCCTCCTCCTGCCTGTTGCAATTGATACACTTAAGTTGCGCTCAAATTCCATCATCAAAGACAAATTTCATACATCTTTCCATTGATGAAACTGCTGTGACTGGTGGCTCACGGAGTAACATATGTACAATAGTCAAACTGTATCTTCAGTCCAACACAATGGAATCTGAGAGCATGTCCAGTCCATAATCGGTGGAGGTGATTATATAACCTTGACTACTATGATCTTGAGTCAGCTCATGGATTTGAGGTAGATGGATGGTGTATATCCCTTCAGTCCATCAGCATCGACATACCACCATTCTGTGTTCCCCTCCTGGTCATGCTTTGCAAGCACTGTTACCACCTGACCCTCGAACAAAGACACTTCTGTTGCAGTTCTTGCCTCAAATCCAAACTCTGCAAAGTAAAACTTAAAAAAAAAATTATATTAAACATTGCCCAAGGAATGCTGTATCTAATGATACTAGTTTGATCTGTAGGAGACATATTTAAGGGCCCCAGGGGCCCTCTATCAACAGAAAAAGCATCCTTCCTTTATACAAAATGATTTCATTCCATAGGTTTCATCCTTGTATTCTTTGAATTGAAAGTACTGATATATTTCAAGAATGATTAAAAAACGTTGTACAAATACTTTCAAGTTAATAAGTATCATTAATGTTTTTACCTTTTATCTCCATGTATGGCATTTACAACACATCTCAACACCAACCTTCATATTTGACCATGATATATGACCTTAAGCTCTGACCTTCCTATGTGACCTTAACAATTGATCTTCACATGAGACCTTTATATTTTACTTAAATGTACATCAATCACCTTTGTCCTTAAATTGCAAATGTGACCAAAATGTAATCTTTGACGCTAATATCTGATCTTCACATGACATCAATGTGCTACATTCACCCTTGAACTCATAGTGATTACTTGACCCCTGACCTCATGGTGTGTCTTACCTTTGAGAGCGACCTTATCAAAAGCTTCTATCTAAAGCTACGGTGGTCTGGACATTTTTTGACCAAAGGACACAATGGCCAGTAATCTTCAAAATTACATACCTCCTCAGAACCACTAGCAGCAGAAATATTGATCTCCTCAGTGATTTCTGGACTCATGTCTTCCTCAAGTGCAAAGTCAAATTCATCGTCCTGTACATTGTCTGCTGCTGGCCCTCCAACAGGCACTGGCTCTAGCACCGCGGTAGGTGTAGGAGGTGGAGAATAAGACAGTGGGGTTGTTGATGACATCTGAGGAGGCAGGCCAGACTGGTATAATTTCAGAATATTTCTTGGTACGAAACCTTTAGATGCTGAAATCATCAAATTTATAAATGAAAGTTTATTGGTTACATCTACATTTCAATACAAAACTTCAGAGGGGAGGGAGTGAGGAGGGGGGTTCTCATGCAATATTGCTTATTAGATGAACTTTCATCCCACTCTGATGGTTAAAAAAATAAAAATTTATCCCCAGTCATATAACTTTATTTTCCAATCCACTTAACTGGAGAATTGTTTTAATAATAATTTTAGTTAAACTGACAGAGGGATGATGTTTTGCTAGCAGTTAGCAGCTTTCCCTGAGAATTTCTACTGGCTCATAAAGACTTCCGTCATTTAGTATCATAAAGATTTCTATTATTTTGTATATACGAAAAGTACCTTCTTTTCCAACTAAGGGGGCTGAGACCAAACTTTTTATACCAAATTGATTCCCCTTTCACCCAAGTCTGTTTCAGACAATGTTAGAACAGACTCCTGGTATTTCTACAGAAAACGATTGAAAAATTGTGTGTTCTATTTCTTCTATTGGGCCCTGTCCTGTGCCTCCAAACCCAGGGGGCTAAGACCCATCATTTATACAAATTGATTTCCCTTCAACAAGGCATGCTTCAGATGAAATTGAAACAACATTCAAAAATTTCTACAGAAGCAGTAGGATTTCTCAATTTGCTCTATTTTCCTTACTTTGTCCCACCCTGCCCCTCCCTCTCAAAGGGGCTTAGATCCACAATTAACTCAAAATTGATTTCCCTTCATCCAACAAAGCTTCAGACAAAATTTGGGCAAAATCCAATCATTCCTACAGTAGTATGATATCAAATAACTTGCTTTTTTCCCCTAATAAGCCCTGCCCCTACCATCCTAAAGGGCTGAGACCCACAGTTTTACAAAATTTGCTCCACTTTCCATAAGGATGCTTCTCATCAAATTGGGTAAAAATCCACCGAGTCGTTTATGATTTAGCGTAACTTTCGGGGAAAAAACTGACAGACAGGTGGATACCAGCTGTTACTGTATGACTTAAGCTCTCCAGCCCTTTGGACCAGGTGAGTCCAATAGTAGCATGACAAAGGTCTTGTAACACGGTATTACAATACTGAAATATATATTACTCACTGCCATTGTCGACAAACCAGCGATCCTTGCTGCCCATTGGGTCCTTCTCCATGACAACCCCTACTAGAACTCCGGCCATCAGTGGTATATCCATCATGTCTGTAGGGGTGTATCTTTCATCCACCATATACAGTTTGTCCAGAGGATACTTTTGTATAACGTACATCCTCTGACTGTCAGACTGACCCCAATATTCCTTGTCGTGAAAAAAACAAAAAAATGTCTGACATAAAACTATCATGTTATCAAGGTAAAATACAAATATAGATCACAGTGACCTACTTCTAATATGTATCACACTGACTTTCCAAGATATGACCAGGGGCCAAGTCGGGATGTGGATGCTAGCTGAGGATTTAAACTGATCCTTGTACATGTTGTATGTGCCAGTTAGCTCCATGTCGGACCTAAATCAGACTCCATCTCACTGTTAGTGTCAGTCTTCATTTGAACTGTAAAGTTGACTTTATTTCTTATATCGGAGTCTGAATATTGATATTGGACACAATTTACACAGCGACAAGGATAACAGCTTCTTAAATATGGTGACTTGACTTCTCCTTCTATAAAAAAAACCTTGTAGATATTTGTGACCATAAACATGTGTACCATTATATTGTAATGTATTTCTTATAATGTAAACTTAACATCAACTACTGTGACTTGTACCATCTCTCTACTCAAGCTAATTTCCCCTTCATTTGACAACACAATCATGTGACCAGGTCAGCTAACTGGTAACTCTTATTTGAACAAGAATGAATTTATGTCCACAGCCAGCACCCTAACCCTGACTCAGGCCTCCTCAGCCAGCACTCTAACCCCAACTCAAGCCTCCTCAGCCAGCACCCTAACGCCAACTCAGGCCTCCTAAGCCAGCACTATAACCCTGACTCAGGCCTCCTCAGCCAGCATCCTTACCTGGACTCTGGACTCCTCAGCAAGCACCCCAACCCTAACTCAGGCCTCCTCAAGCAGCACCCTAAACCCGACTCTAGCCTCCTCAGCCAGTATCCTAACCCAGACTCAGGCCTCCTCAGCCAGCACCCTAACCCCAACTCATGCCTCCTCAGCCAGCACCCTAACCCCAACTCAGGCCTCCTCAGCCAGCACCCTAACCCTGACTCAGGCCTCCTAAGCCAGCACCCTAACCCCAACTCAGGCCTCCTCAGCCAGCACCCTAACCCTGACTCAGGCCTCCTAAGCCAGCACCATAACCCTGACTCAGGCCTCCTCAGCCAGCATCCTTACCTGGACTCTGGCCTCCTCAGCCAGGACCCTAACCCTGACTCAGGCCTCCTCAGCCAGCACTCTAACCTACACTCAGGACCCTCAGGCAGCACCCTAACCCTGACTCAGGTCTCCTCAGCCAGCACTCTTACCCAGACACAGGCTTTCTCAGCCAGCACCCTAACCTACACTCAGGCCTTCTCAGTCAGCACTCTTACCCAGACTCTAGCCACCTCAGCCAGCACCATAACCCTTACTCAGGTATCCTAAGCCAGCACCCTAACCCTTACTCAGGTCTCGTCAGCCAGCACCCTAACCTACACTCAGGCCTCCTCAGCCAGCACCCTAACCCCGACTCAGGCCTCGTCAGCCAGCACCCTAACTCCGACTCAGGCCTCCTCAGCCAGCACCCTAACCCCGACTCAAGCCTCCTAAGCCAGCACCCTAACTCCGACTCAGCCAGCACCCTAACCCCGACTCAGGCCTCGTCAGCCAGCACCCTAACTCCGACTCAGGCCTCCTCAGCCAGCACCCTAACCCTGACTCTGGCCACCTCAGCCAGCACCATAACCCTTACTCAGGTCTCCTCAGCCAGCACTCTAACCTACACTCAGGACCCTCAGGCAGCACCCTAACCCTGACTCAGGTCTCCTCAGCCAGCACTCTTACCCAGACACAGGCTTTCTCAGCCAGCACCCTAACCTACACTCAGGCCTCCTCAGTCAGCACTCTTACCCAGACTCTAGCCACCTCAGCCAGCACCATAACCCTTACTCAGGTATCCTAAGCCAGCACCCTAACCCTTACTCAGGTCTCGTCAGCCAGCACCCTAACCTACACTCAGGCCTCCTCAGCCAGCACCCTAACCCCGACTCAGGCCTCGTCAGCCAGCACCCTAACTCCGACTCAGGCCTCCTCAGCCAGCACCCTAACCCCGACTCAGGCCTCGTCAGCCAGCACCCTAACTCCGACTCAGGCCTCGTCAGCCAGCACCCTAACTCCGACTCAGGCCTGCTCAGCCAGCACCCTAACCCTGACTCTGGCCACCTAAGCCAGCACCATAACCCTTACTCAGGTCTCCTCAGCCAGCACCCTAACCCCAACTCAGGCCTCCTCAGACACCACCCTAACTTACACTCAGGCCTCCTCAGCCAGCACCCTAACCCTGACTCTGGCCACCTCAGCCAGCCCCCTAACCCTTACTCAGGTCTCCTCAGCCAGCACCCTAACCCCAACTCAGGCCTCCTCAGACACCACCCTAACCTACACTCAGGCCTCCTCAGCCAGCACCCTAACCACGACTCTGGCCTCCTAAACCAGCACCCTAACCCAGACTCAGGCTCTGGTCACAGTACAGAGAGAGAGTCCCAAGTACATATATTTATAGACACATAGAACTTTCATACAAATGCATGATAAATCTCTCAAATGTTTATTGTTAAATATCTTCTGCAACAACCTCTATGTCATACAGTGTTACCTTTTGTGTGACGTCTACTGACTGTCGTTTGGCTTTTTTGTCCTGTTTGATAAGATCCATACGAGGGTTGAAGCCCTTCGGGACAAAGGAGAGTAAAGACATTCTATCCATCATGGAGACATGTTTATGGTTGAAAACATCCATCACACTATTCTCTGTACACAGCAACGAGGATAACTATAACAATGATATAAATATCATGTAGTCTTTATTTCATAGGCAATTTCAAACAAAAATCAAGAATACAACACTTGTCACAACACTAGCCACATCAGGAGTCACATCAATAGTCAAGTATACAACACTAGTCACAACACTAGTCAAATATACAACACAAGCCACATCACAAGTCATAACACCAGTCACATCAAGTCATATCAATAGTCACATCAATAGTCACATCACTAATCAAATATACAACACTAGTCACAACACTAGTCACATCAATAGTCATATCAATAGTCATATCAATAGTAACATCAATAGTCATATCAATAGTCACATCACTAGTCACAACACTAGTCATAACAACAGTCACATCACGAGTCAAGTATACAACACTAGTCACAACACTAGTCACATCACTAGTAAAGTATACAACACTAGTTACATCACTAGTCACATCAATAGTCAAGTATACAACACTAGTCACATCACTAGTCACATCACCAGTCAAGTATACAACACTAGTCACACCAATAGTCACATCACTAGTCACAACACTAGTCACATCAATAGTTACATCACGAGTCAAGTATACAACACTAGTCACAACACTAGTCACATCACTAGTAAAGTATACAACACTAGTCACATCACTAGTCACAACACTAATCACATCACCAGTCAAGTATACAACACTAGTCACATCACTAGTCACAACACTTGTCACATCACTAGTCACAACACTAGTCACATCACTAGTCATAACACTAGTCACATCACTAGTCAAGTATACAACACTAGTCTCATCACTAGTCACATCACTAGTCACATCACCAGTCAAGTATACAACACAAGTCACAACACTATTCAAGTATACAACACAAGTCACAACACTATTCAGGTTTACAATACTAGTTACAACACTAGTCAAGTACACAACACAAGTCACAACACTATTCAAGTTTACAACACTAGTTACAACACTAGTCAAGTATACAACACTAGTCACATCACTAGTCACAACACTAGTCACATCACTAGTCATAACACTAGTCACATCACTAGTCACATCACTAGTCAAGTATACAACACAAGTCACAACACTAGTCAAGTTTACAACACTAGTTACAACACTAGTCACATCACTAGTCACAACACCAGTCAAGTATAAAACACTAATCACAACATTAGTCACAACACTAGTCAATTATACAACACTAATCACAACATTAGTCACATCACTAGTCACATCATTAGTCATGTATACAGCACTAGTCACATCACTATTCATATATACAACACTAGTCACATTACTAGTCACAACACTAGTCATGTATACAACACTAGTCACATCACTAGTCACATCACTAGTCATGTATACAACACTAGTCACATCACTAGTCACATCACTAGTCATGTATACAACACTAGTCACATCACTAGTCATATCACCAGTCATGTATACAAAACTAGTCACATCAGTCACATCACTAGTCATGTATACAACACTAGTCACATCACTAGTCAAGTTTACAACACTAGTCACATCACTAGTCAAGTATACAACACTAGTCACATCGCTAGTCATAACACTAGCCACATCACTAGTCACATCACTAGTCATGTATACAACACTTCTTGTCACATCACTAGCCACATCACCAGTCAAGTATACAACACTAGTCACATCACCAGTCGTATCACTAGTCAAGTATACAACACTAGTCACATCACTAGTCATAACACTAGCCACATCACTAGTCAAGTATACAACATTAGTCACATCACTAGTCACATCACTAGTCAAGTATACAACACTAGTCTCATCACTAGTCAAGTATACAACACTAGTCACATCACTAGTCACATCACCAGTCATGTATGCAACACTAGTCACATCACTAGCCACATCACTAGTCATGTATACAACACTAGTCACATCACTAGTCAAGTTTACAACACTAGTCACATCACTAGTCAAATCACTAGTCTCATCACTAGTCAAGTATACAACACTAGTCACATCACTAGTCAAGTTTACAACACTAGTCACATCACTAGTCAAATCACTAGTCTCATCACTAGTCAAGTATACAACACTAGTCACATCACTAGTCAAGTTTACAACACTAGTCACAACACTAGTCACATCACCAGTCAAGTATAAAACACTAATCACAACATTAGTCACAACACTAGTCAATTATACAACACTAATCACAACATTAGTCACATCACTAGTCACATCATTAGTCATGTATACAACACTAGTCACATCACTATTCATATATACAACACTAGTCACATTACTAGTCACAACACTAGTCATGTATACAACACTAGTCACATCACTAGTCACATCACTAGTCATGTATACAACACTAGTCACATCACTAGTCATATCACCAGTCATGTATACAAAACTAGTCACATCAGTCACATCACTAGTCATGTATACAACACTAGTCACATCACTAGTCAAGTTTACAACACTAGTCACATCACTAGTCAAGTATACAACACTAGTCACATCACTAGTCATAACACTAGCCACATCACTAGTCACATCACTATTCATATATACAACACTAGTCACATTACTAGTCACAACACTAGTCATGTATACAACACTAGTCACATCACTAGTCATGTATTCAACACTAGTCACATCACTAGTCATGTATACAACACTAGTCACATCACTAGTCATATCACCAGTCATGTATACAAAACTAGTCACATCAGTCACATCACTAGTCATGTATACAACACTAGTCACATCACTAGTCAAGTTTACAATACTAGTCACATCACTAGTCAAATCACTAGTCACATCACTAGTCAAGTATACATCACTAGTCACAACACTAATCTCATCACCAGTCAAGTATACAACACTAGTCACATCACCAGTCGTATCACTAGTCAAGTATACAATACTAGTCACATCACTAGTCACAACACTAGCCACATCACTAGTCACATCACTAGTCAAGTATACAACACTAGTCACATCACTAGTCACAACACTAGCCACATCACTAGTCACATCACTAGTCAAGTATACAACACTAGTCACATCACTAGTCACATCACTAGTCAAGTATACAACACTAGTCTCATCACTAGTCACATCACCAGTCAAGTATACAACACTAGTCACATCACCAGTCATACCACTAGTCAAGTATACAACACTAGTCACATCACTAGTCAAGTATACAATACTAGTCACATCACTAGTCACAACACTAGCCACATCACTAGTCACATCACTAGTCAAGTATACAACACTAGTCACATCACTAGTCACATCACTAGTCAAGTATACAACACTAGTCTCATCACTAGTCACATCACTAGTCATGTATACAACACTAGTCACATCACTAGTCACATCACTAGTCAAGTATACAACACTAGTCACATCACTAGTCACAACACTAGCCACATCACTAGTCACATCACTAGTCAAGTATACAACACTAGTCACATCACTAGTCACATCACTAGTCAAGTATACAACACTAGTCTCATCACTAGTCACATCACTAGTCAAGTATACAATACTAGTCACATCACTAGTCAAGTTTACAACACTAGCCACATCACTAGTCACATCACTAGTCAAGTATACAACACTAGTCACATCACTAGTCACATCACTAGTCAAGTATACAATACTAGTCACATAACTAGTCACAACACTAGCCACATCACTAGTCACATCACTAGTCAAGTATACAACACTAGTCACATCACTAGTCACATCACCAGTCATACCACTAGTCAAGTATACAACACTAGTCACATCACTAGTCAAGTATACAACACTAGTCACAACATTAGTGACATCACTAGTCACCACATTAGGCAAATGTGTAACACTAGTTTGGAGGTTCCTTAAGATGCACTGGTCAGCCTGGAGAGTAAAATCATTAGGATTACACAAGGGGAAGCTCCCAAAGACAATCAAAGCTCCCAAAGACAATCATGTCTGTCTGGCAATTAAAATCACCAGGAAAAGTGGTACCAGACAAAAGAAATAAGACAAAAGTTGAGTAATTGAAACAAGAGGTATTCATAAAATAGTAATAGTAGGTGACCAAGAGAACAGTAGCTATGATGAGATATTAAAATAACACCAGAGGAGTGTGAGGAGGAGCTAACTTAGATATAACCATGAATCAGGTTCACAAATTTTATAGTTTGAAAGTGGTCCATGGTGACCTTTGACCTCTAACTTTGATCAATACACACCAAAATCTAATTGGGTGTAGACCTATGATGCTGTGGTTTAAATATAATTTGAAAATAAACCAGATCTGTTCAGGGGTTCATGAGTATCCTGTTCACAACATTATCATTGATGCATGCACGAAATGACCTATGCACTCACGCCATTTAGAAAACCTAAGCATTATTTATTCTGTAATAAATCTGTCCATGGTGAGACTTACATCAAGCAGTTCTGACATCCTGTGTAGAATGGCATCAGTATAAGCTTGCTGGGCACTGACAAATGCTGACACACAGTCCTGGAGCAGGCTTAAAGCCAGACTGTATAGGGAAGGTAACTCATCCAACAGCTGGGCATTCATCGCCGCATAGTCTTTTTTTGTCATCCCTAGTGCCTTTTCAAGTGACTGTGGAGAAAAATATGATAACCTTACAAATAACAGGGGATCACTTATAAAAGGGAATAGAGAAAGAGAATCTAAATGTCAACAGAGGAACAGAATCTATCAATCTTAATGTCAACAGAGGAACAGAATCTATCAATCTTAATGTCACCAGAGGAACAGAATCTATCAATCTTAATGTCAACAGAGGAACAGAATCTATCAATCTTAATGTCACCAGAGGAACAGAATCTATCAATCTTAATATCAACAGAGGAACAGAATCTATCAATCTGTATAAAGTTGCAAATGACGGTTCTACACTATCTATTTCAGTCACAAAAATGTGATGGACAGGTACTTGTTCAAAACTTGTCTTGTACTGGTATACTGGTATCTTTGGTTTAAATCACTATTTTTATTCTCTTTGGAAGTGTGACTTGTTACAGCAAACAAAATTATTAGGAAGGAAGGTCACACAGGGCAAAAGTGCATGTGATATGTCTCACCAAAATGGCCATTCCAAAATACATAACAGTACTGAATCCATGTTCCGACAATACATACCAGTACTGAATCCATGTTCCGACAATACATACCAGTACTGAATCCATGTTTGACAATACATAACAGTACTGAATCCATGTTTGACAATACATAACAGTACTGAATCCATGTTTGACAATACATAACAGTACTGAATCCATGTTTGACAATACATACCAGTACTGAATCCATGTTTGACAATACATACCAGTACTGAATCCATGTTTGACAATACATAACAGTACTGAATCCATGTTTGACAATACATAACAGTACTGAATCCATGTTTGACAATACATAACAGTACTGAATCCATGTTTAACAATACATACCAGTACTGAATCCATGTTTGACAATACATACCAGTACTGAATCCATGTTCCGACAATACATACCAGTACTGAATCCATGTTTGACAATACATAACAGTACTGAATCCATGTTTGACAATACATAACAGTACTGAATCCATGTTCCGACAATACATACCAGTACTGAATCTATGTTCCGACAACACATACCAGTACTGAATCCATATTTGACAATACATACCAGTACTGAATCCATGTTCCGACAATACATACCAGTACTGAATCCATGTTTGACAATACATAACAGTACTGAATCCATGTTTGACAATACATACCAGTACTGAATCCATGTTTGACAATACATACCAGTACTGAATCCATGTTTGACAATACATACCAGTACTGAATCCATGTTCCGACAATACATACCAGTACTGAATCCATGTTCCGACAATACATACCAGTACTGAATCCATGTTTGACAATACATAACAGTACTGAATCCATGTTCCGACAATACATACCAGTACTGAATCCATGTTTGACAATACATACCAGTACTGAATCCATGTTCCGACAATACATACCAGTACTGAATCCATGTTTGACAATACATACCAGTACTGAATCCATGTTTGACAATACATACAGTACTGAATCCATGTTTGACAATACATACCAGTACTGAATCCATGTTTGACAATACATAACAGTACTGAATCCATGTTTGACAATACATACCAGTACTGAATCCATGTTTGACAATACATACCAGTACTGAATCTGTGTTCCGACAATACATACCAGTACTGAATCCATGTTTGACAATACATACCCGACAATACATACCAGTACTGAATCCATGTTTGACAATACATAACAGTACTGAATCCATGTTTGACAATACATAACAGTACTGAATCCATGTTTGACAATACATACCAGTACTGAATCCATTTTTGACAATACATACCAGTACTGAATCCATGTTTGACAATACATAACAGTACTGAATCCATGTTCCGACAATACATAACAGTACTGAATCCATGTTTGACAATACATAACAGTACTGAATCCATGTTTGACAATACATAACAGTACTGAATCCATGTTTGACAATACATACCAGTACTGAATCCATGTTTGACAATACATACCAGTACTGAATCCATGTTTGACAATACATAACAGTACTGAATCCATGTTTGACAATACATAACAGTACTGAATCCATGTTTGACAATACATAACAGTACTGAATCCATGTTTGACAATACATAACAGTACTGAATCCATGTTTGACAATACATAACAGTACTGAATCCATGTTTGACAATACATAACAGTACTGAATCCATGTTTGACAATACATAACAGTACTGAATCCATGTTTGACAATACATAACAGTACTGAATCCATGTTTGACAATACATAACAGTACTGAATCCATGTTTGACAATACATAACAGTACTGAATCCATGTTTGACAATACATAACAGTACTGAATCCATGTTTGACAATACATAACAATACTGAATCCATGTTTGACAATACATACCAGTACTGAATCCATGTTTGACAATACATAACAGTACTGAATCCATGTTTGACAATACATAACCGTACTGAATCCATGTTTGACAATACATACCAGTACTGAATCCATGTTTGACAATACATAACAGTACTGAATCCATGTTCCGACAATACATACCAGTACTGAATCCATGTTTGACAATACATACCAGTACTGATGTTTGACAATACATACATACTGAATCCAGTACTGTACTGAATCCATGTTCCGACAATACATAATACTGAATCCATGTTTGACAATACATACCAGTACTGAATCCATGTTTGACAATACATACCAGTACTGAATCCATGTTTGACAATACATAACAGTACTGAATCCATGTTCCGACAATACATACCAGTACTGAATCCATGTTTGACAATACATACCAGTACTGAATCTATGTTCCGACAATACATACCAGTACTCAATCCATGTTTGACAATACATACCAGTACTGAATCCATGTTTGACAATACATAACAGTACTGAATCCATGTTTGACAATACATAACAGTACTGAATCCATGTTTGACAATACATACCAGTACTGAATCCATGTTTGACAATACATAACAGTACTGAATCCATGTTCCGACAATACATAACAGTACTGAATCCATGTTTGAATCAATACATAACAGTACTGAATCCATGTTTGACAATACATAACAGTACTGAATCCATGTTTGACAATACATAACAGTACTGAATCCATGTTTGACAATACATAACAGTACTGAATCCATGTTTGACAATACATAACAGTACTGAATCCATGTTTGACAATACATAACAGTACTGAATCCATGTTTGACAATACATACCAGTACTGAATCCATGTTTGACAATACATAACAGTACTGAATCCATGTTCCGACAATACATACCAGTACTGAATCCATGTTTGACAATACATACCAGTACTGAATCTGTGTTCCGACAACACATACCAGTACTGAATCCATGTTTGACAATACATACCAGTACTGAATCCATGTTTGCCAATACATACCAGTACTGAATCCATGTTCCGACAATACATAACAGTACTGAATCCATGTTTGACAATACATACCAGTACTGAATCCATGTTTGACAATACATAACAGTACTGAATCCATGTTCCGACAATACATACCAGTACTGAATCCATGTTTGACAATACATACCAGTACTGAATCCATGTTTGACAATACATAACAGTACTGAATCCATGTTTGACAATACATAACAGTACTGAATCCATGTTCCGACAATACATACCAGTACTGAATCCATGTTTGACAATACATAACAGTACTGAATCCATGTTCCGACAATACATACCAGTACTGAATCCATGTTCCGACAATACATACCAGTACTGAATCCATGTTTGACAATACATAACAGTACTGAATCCATGTTTGACAATACATACCAGTACTGAATCCATGTTCCGACAATACATACAAGTACTGAATCCATGTTTGACAATACATACCAGTACTGAATCCATGTTCCGACAATACATACCAGTACTGAATCCATGTTTGACAATACATACCAGTACTGAATCCATGTTTGACAATACATAACAGTACTGAATCCATGTTCCGACAATACATAACAGTACTGAATCCATGTTTGACAATACATAACAATACTGAATCCATGTTTGACAATACATACCAGTACTGAATCCATGTTTGACAATACATAACAGTACTGAATCCATGTTTGACAATACATAACAGTACTGAATCCATGTTTGACAATACATACCAGTACTGAATCCATGTTTGACAATACATAACAGTACTGAATCCATGTTCTGACAATACATAACAGTACTGAATCCATGTTTGACAATACATAACAGTACTGAATCCATGTTTGACAATACATAACAGTACTGAATCCATGTTTGACAATACATAACAGTACTGAATCCATGTTTGACAATACATACCAGTACTGAATCCATGTTTGACAATACATACCAGTACTGAATCCATGTTTGACAATACATAACAGTACTGAATCCATGTTTGACAATACATAACAGTACTGAATCCATGTTTGACAATACATAACAGTACTGAATCCATGTTTGACAATACATACAGTACTGAATCCATGTTTGACAATACATACCAGTACTGAATCCATGTTTGACAATACATAACAGTACTGAATCCATGTTTGACAATACATAACAGTACTGAATCCATGTTTGACAATACATACCAGTACTGAATCCATGTTTGCCTATACATACCAGTACTGAATCCATGTGTGCCAATACATACCAGTACTGAATCCATGTTTGACAATACATAACAGTACTGAATCCATGTTTGACAATACATAACAGTACTGAATCCATGTTCTGACAATACATAACAGTACTGAATCCATGTTTGACAATACCTAACAGAACTGAATCCATGTGTGACAATACATAACAGTACTGAATCCATGTTTGTACTGAATCCATGTTTGACAATACATACCAGTACTGAATCCATGTTTGACAATACATAACAGTACTGAATCCATGTTTGACAATACATAACAGTACTGAATCCATGTTTG